GGGCTGCGGCCTAGGATGGTGGCTCCCGCTGGCAGCTGTGCTGTCCCGCCCTGCCTGCAGCATGCAAATTAGCCGCCATCTTTTGTTGGCGGTTAATTTGCATATCATGCTGATTAGCCAATGGGAGGCGTAGTGAAGGTATGGTCAATTACCATGTTTGTCTATTATTAGATAGGATATATAGAAGATATGTCTTAAGATAGAGACCAAATATTTACTTTATTTTATTTTTTAAAAATCTTTATCCTTCAGATTATTATAGATGTTCCTTTTTTTTCTCCCCATAGCTCCCCTACACTCGGTTCCCACCCCACTCCAGGCCTTCCCTCCTCCACTGACCTCATCCATAGGTGTAAGCTCTTTGTCCAATCTATTCCCGCACACCCCACAACCCCTTCCCCCTAAGAATTGTTAGTCTGCTCCCTTTCCATGCCCCTGATTCTATTACATTCACCAGTTTATTCTGTTCATCAGGTTTTCATTCATTTGATTTTTAGGTTCACTTGTTGATAGATATGTATTTGTTGTCACTTGTTGTTCATATTTTTTATCTTTACCTTTTTCTTCTTCTTCCTCTTCTTAGAGAATACCCTTTAGCATTTCATGTAATACTGGTTTGGTGGTGATGAACTCTTTTAGCTTTTTCATGTCTGTGAAGCCCTTTATCTGACCTTCAATTCTAAATGATAGCTTTGCTGGATAAAGTAATCTTGGTTGTAGGTTCTTGGCATTCATCACTTTGAATATTTCTTGCCACTCCCTTCTGGCCTGCATAGTTTCTGTTGAGAAATCAGCTGACAGTTGTATGGGTACTCCCTTGTAGGTAACTAACTTTTTTTCTCTTGCTGCTTTTAAGATTCTCTCTTTGTCTTTTTTTTTTAAAATATATTTTATTGATTTTTTACAGAGAGGAAGGGAGAGAGATAGAGAGTTAGAAATATCGATGAGAGAGAAACATCGATTAGCTGCCTCCTGCACATCTCCTACTGGGGATGTGCCCACAACCCAGGTACATGCCCTTGACCGGAATCGAACCCGGGACCTTTCAGGCCGCAGGCCGACACTCTATCCACTGAGCCAAACCGGTTTCAGCCTCTCTTTGTCTTTTGCCCTTGGCATTTTAATTATGATGTGTCTTGGTGTGGTCCTCTTTGGATTCCTCTTGTTTGGGGTTCTCTGCGCTTCCTGGAATTTTAAGTCTATTTCTTTCACCAGGTAGGGGAAGTTTTCTGTCATCATTTCTTCAAATAGGTTTTCAATATCTTGCTCTCTCTCTTCTTCTGGCACCCCATAATTCGGATGTTGGTACGCCTGAAGTTGTCCCAGAGGCTCCTTACACTATCTTCATATTTTTGGATTCTTTTTTCTTTTTGTTTTTCCAGTTGGGTGTTTTTTGCTTCTTCGTATTTCAAATCTTTGACTTGATTCTTGGGATCCTCTAGTCTGCTTTGAATCTCTGTATATTATTCTTTATTTCAGTCAGTGTATGCTTAATTTCTGATTGGTCCTTTTTCATATCCTTGAGGGTCTCACTAAATTTCTCAGAGGTTTCTAGAAGATTCTTGAGTAACCTTATAACTGTGGTTTTGAACTCTATATCCAGTAGTTTGCTTTCTTCCATTTCTTTCATTTGTAACTTGTTTCTTTGGCTCCGCATTTTGACTGCTTCCCTGTGTTTGTTTCTATGTACTGGATAGCTGCTAAGTCTCCTAGAGTTGATAGAGTGGCCTTGTGTGTTAGGTGTCCTATAGGGCCCAGTGGCTCAGCCTCCCCAGTCACCTGTGGGCTGTGTGCACAGTCTTGTTGTAGTTAAGCCTTGATTGCTGTTGGTATCACTGGGAGGAATAGACCTCCAGGCCAATTGGCTGTGATGACCAGCTGTGTCTACACTGGAATATCTGTTGTGCAGGAGACACCCTTATGGGGCAGGACTTGCTTCAGTGGGGCTTTGGTGCTCACTGAGTCTGCCCCTTGAGTGTGTCTCTTATGGATGTGGAGCGTTGTAATCCAGTATGGTCTCACTCTGACCACTGGGTACACTGGCTCTCAGCTCTCCAAGGAGGTGCAAGGTCATCCACTGTCTGGGGCTTCCCAGCAGGAGCTACAGAGACATCTGAAGATTCCTCCTCTTTGTATGGGGTTTGGAAGTTCCCAGACAAGGCCCAGCTGTGAACCAAGGCAGGCTGCTGCTGATGGGCCTTGGGCCTTCTTTTGGAAGCTCTTGGGCTCTCTGACCCAGCTGCAGTTTGACAGGTTTTAGGCGGAGAAAGGACAGGCCATTCATGTGCAAAAGCCGATGCGCACAGCTTGGGTGGGGTTGTAAATTGGGTGGAGCAGGGTCTCTGGGAATCACCAGGGCAGAGCAAACAGCAGTGGCTGCCAGTCAGCCTGCTTCAGAGAGGTCCCCGGGTCTCCGCATCCCGCGCCCCCGTGCAGGAACAATGATCGCTGCGAGCACCTCTGAGAGAAAGCCGCCCTCACGTTCCTGTCCCGATGCCAGACAGTCCAGTTTCTCCCCGTATGTGTCTGGGTCCCCCAGAGTCTTGCCCGGAACTGGAGTTCAGAGCAAGTGGGAGCTTGTATCTCCCTCCTGATTAAAAGAGCAGCACATCCAGGTGCCAGCACTTTCTGCACCTCTGTACCTCTCTAGTTGTGGAACTTCCACTCAGCCAGCTTTCCTGCGGTTCTGGGTGGTAGTTGTTCTGCCTTTTAGTTTTTATTTTGATGTGGTTGTGAGAGGCAGCAAGTATAGGTGTTTACCTATGCTGCCATCTTGGTTCTCTCAAGACCAAAGATTTTTCCCAAACTTGTAAAACAAGCAAATTGAATACACTTAAGGGACATAATCTGCCAAAGTGACACTTCTTAGATCCTAATCAAGAGAGCACTTAATGGGTTTTATGGCAAGATGCAAACTGTTGAGACATGAAAAAGCAATGATGTAACTGGCACTGAAAAGCAGATTATGAGAAAGAACACAGTAGTAGTCACCTATGGCAGTAAAGGAGAAAGCATTAGACAGTAAGGGAGAAAGAACTAGATAGTAAGGGAGAAAGAACTAGACAGTAAGGGAGAAAGAACTAGATTAAGGATCAGAAATTCTAGGTTTACCACTCTTCAGCTAGATGACTTGGGGTAAGTAATTTAGCTTTTTGTTAAACTGAAAAGTTCTCTTTGCTCTTTCTTTTGTAAAATATAGTGGTAGTAAAGTCATAGGTAAGCATCACAATCACATTCATATTACAAACAGGGAAACTGAGGCAGAGAAAATTAAGGTGTTTTCACCCTTTTCCAGCCAGATGTGGCAGAGCTATGCTCTAATCCATTTCACTACACTGCCTTTGCCACACCCACACCCTAGTCATCTGTCCCAGTTTGCACAAACACATGTTTTTATAGTTGATGCCTTTGTACATGTTATTGCTTCTGCCCAAGTTTGTCACCTAAACTGTCAGTGTGGTCTAGGCCAAATTATTTAGTCTCTCTCTGAGATAAAGTTTCTTACATGTAACACGGAGAGACTAATATATATAAATCTCTCAACGTACTGTTACAAATATTAAATTAATTGAGGTAATGTATGTCAAATGCCTGACATACCAAAGGCATTCAAAATATCAGTCTCTAGCTGCTTGCACAGGTGACACTAGTCCACAGGAGGACATGCATCCTTCAGAGTTCTGCTTAAGCATCACCTTGTTTTGATGCCTCTCTTGTCCCTTTTTTATTGCTCTGGCAGTGTAATTCTACCTCTCCCTTATTTTTACTCTGGCATATGCCACATTATAACTCTAGGACAGACCATCAGCCAAACCATCTCCTAAGTAGTTTTCCTGCTTTCCAGACGTGTCCCACTTCCACTTCATTCTTTATGGTATTGAGTAATTTTCCTATAACCCAAATCAGTCGATACCATTTCTCAGCTTAAAATTCCTCATCAGTTCCTACTACTCTTCAGATAAAGTCCAAATTCCAATCGTGGCCTATTATGTCCTATATAATCAGAACCCACTTTCCTCTCTATATTCATCTCTCTACAATCCCTTTCCAAACCTCATCACATCAAACTCTCAGCTCCAGCCAGTCTGAACTTGCCAGCTCTTCCTGAATCAGGCTCTAATTAGCACAGCCATCACTTTCCCTGGATAGCTTTCCAAACCTTCAAGTCTGGGTTAGGCACCACTCTCCATGCCCTCTTGCCTTTTTTTTTTTTTTTTTTAAATATGTTTTTGTGTTTTTTTTTAATCCTCATCCGAGGATATTTTTCCATTGATTTTTATAGAGAGTGGAAGAGAGGGAAAGACAGAGAGAAATATCGATGTGAGAGAAACACATCGATTGGTTGCCTCCTGCACATGCCCTGACGAGGGCCTGGGCCAGGGAGGAGCCTGCAACCGATGTACCCTGGGAATCAAACCCAGGACCCTTTGACCCACAGGCCAACGTTCTATCCACTGGCCAAACTGGCTAGAGCTAATATGTTTTTTATTAAATTTTTTTTTTTAGAAAGAGAGAGGAAAGGTGATAGAGAGATAGAAACAACAATGAGAGAAAAACATTATCCATCAGCTGCCTCTTGCACGCTCCCTACTGGGGATCAAGCCCACAACCCAGGCATGTGCCCTGACTAGAATCGAACCGGTGACCTCTTGGTTCATGGTGCTCGACCACTCAGTCACACCGGCCGGGCACTCTTGGTTTTTTAAGCGCATGAAATCTCAATCAGAATAAACGCTCCATGAGGGCAGGAACCTTTTTTACTACTGTATCCTAAGTAGTAAAACAATGCCTGGTATATAGTATGTATTCAATACATAGTTTCTAAATGAATGAATGTATGAATTTGTTTGAATGTACATCTATTCTACCATTCTGTGGTACAATCTTCTGATTCACATAGCCCAGGATCTAGCAATAACTACCTATTACACAAAGTAGGTACCCAATAAATATTTATTCATTATTGGGCTTCAGTCTTCTTATCTGAAAAGGAGACAATTCCTTCTCCTATAAAATTATTGTTCTAAGAAGAAAGCTGACTAAAAAGCATGTCTAAAATGTACAGGAATATCCATGGAAATAGTAACTTCAACTGGCAGAAAGTAGGCTCTAATGAAAAAATGTATTTGTGTTTCCATTAAGCGGGCTATTTATCTTTCCCCTTATCACTAGATCAATATAAACTGTGAAATAGAGGTAGAATAGGGGTGCTGAGTGGCATCCATGTCAAAGGAAGAGGGCAGAAACTAAAAGTAAAATATAAAAAAGAAATAGCCACATATAGTAGCTAATGCTGCTGACATTTCACATTTGATTTAATTAACTTATTTTTCTTAGGTAATAGGATAAATACTACTTTGTTGACAATGACCAATTCTCAGATCTCAAAGATGCCTAATGCTGTCACCTCTGTAAAGTCCTGAACCACACTGCAAGCAATTTTGAGTCATCTAGATTGTTAATCAACAAGAAAATAAAGTAAAAGATTATAAATGACTAAGACAATTATTTGCCTTAAAATCATGACTGATCCTCACCGTGTTTTTGGAGAATCTCCTGAAGATCTGGCTTAGAAGCAGTATCCAAAGTGCTTTCCCCATCAACACTTCCTTCAGTATCCTCTTCTGTGGCAGAAGAGCCAACTGAGAGAACATGAAGTTTGGTTTCTGCATCTTGAGCATCTGGCTTCAGGAAAGCAGCTGGACCATCAATGCCTGGGGACCAAAAGAAAAGAGAAAGCATAACCCACTATGTAGCTGTGTGGGTTTGGAGTATGTGATCAGAATTAAGAACCACCAAAGCACTTCACTCTCCTCTTTCCTTAACATCCATGAGGACATTTGCTAACAGTAATCCAGGACTGGTGTTCATTTTATTAACATGCTCTGACTCTTACTAAAGTAAAATGTGCCTGATGTTGCCTTGAGAAACATAAGAACGAGACTATGAAAACAAAGTAGGTCCTCCAAGGTTCAAATCCCATACAAACCAATAGCTTAAGGGGCTTGACTTAGAGGCTCTTAATCCCATTCATCCCTCGTCCTCTCATCATCTTAGAAGATCCTTGGAGTCCTAATAATTGAAAGAATGGATGCTCTCTACCTACTCCTGGCTTCAAAGTTGACTGTGCCACAATGTAAAAATAAAGACTATAAGATCCTAAAATAGGCTATTCTAGACTAATTCATTTGACATCTAAAAATAACACTTCTAGGGTGGATATAAACTATATACTATCTCCTACTGATTAGACCAGTGATGGCGAACCTATGACACGCGTGTCAGAGGTGACATGCGAACTCATTTTTTTGGTTGATTTTTCTTTGTTAAATGGCATTTAAATATATAAAATAAGTATCAAAAATATAAGTCTTTGTTTTACTATGGTTGCAAATATCAAAAAATTTCTATATGTGACACGGCACCAGAGTTAAGTTAGGGTTTTTCAAAATGCTGACATGCCAAGCTCAAAAGGTTCGCCATCACTGGATTAGACCATTGCTTTTATTCTACCTCAAAGACCCAGAACTTGATTATAAAAATTTATGAAGGCCTGGCCGGTGTGGTACAGTGGTTGAGCATCAACCTATGAACTAAAAGATCACTGGTTTGATTCCCAGTCAGGACACAGAACTCCAGTAGGGGGCGTGCAGGAAGCAACCAACCAATATTTCTCTCTTATCTCATCGATCTTTGTATCTTTCTATCCCTTTCCCTTCCTCTCTCTCTAAAATCAATAAAAACATATTTTTAAAAAATTTATGAAGGTACCCTAGTGGCAATGCTAATGTTTCTTTGATCCATCTAAGAATCTTCCTGCCTTCTTCTGGGTTTGTAAAAACTGTACCCCAGAGGTAAGAGAGGCTGCCTAAATACACACCATGTAGGATGACATTGTTGTGAGGGGTATGAGGTTCCACCAAAGGAGTATGCTCCTCACTACCTCTTGGCTTTGACCGACGTAGCTTGGCTTCTGGATTTGGCTGCACCATGAGTGGCTCCAGGCGCTTTTTCCTCTGCTTCTTCTCCAGCAGTGCTCTCTAGGAAAAAATTTGATATTATACCCAGGAGAGTTATGACAAGGCCCACCCACTTTGAACATTTACAGTGTTTCACTGATCTTCACACAAAATCCTTGTGAATTAATTTTCCCACTTTAGAGGGGCAACGGCTCATTCATTTAGTAACTATTTATTGAACACCTATAAATATAGATTTAAATGATACAAATGCATTCCTAGCCAAACTGAAGATCATGATACAAGTCTATTTAAAATATATAGTAGTTATCATATTATTATCAACACGTGGTCACAAGTTTAAACTATATAAACACATATGCATAAATAAAAGATAAAGGAATACAAAGAAACATAGTCTTGGGGTAGTAAACTATAAATAATTATTTTTCTTTTTCTATATTTTTAATTTTTCTTACTTTTGTGATCAAAAGAAAAATAAATTTTATTATTGTCTAAACCCCAAATTATTTTCATGTTTTAATTAGCAAAAAAACAATGTTTGCTTTCTTATTCATCTATACTAATAAAAGGGTAATATGCTAATTAGACTGGGAGACCTTCTGGACATCCTTCTGGACAAAGCCATAGTGGTGGGGCCAAGGCAGAGGCGGTTAGGGGCGATCAGGCAGGCAGGCAGGTAAGTAGTTAGGAGCCAGCGGTCGGACATCCCCCAAGGGGTCCCAGATTGGAGAGGGTGCAGGCCGGCTGAGGGACACCCCTCTGTACATGAATTTCATGCATTGGGACAGTAGTCTATCTATATAAAACCTTAATATGCAAATCATTCAAACAGCAGTGACAAGCACTGACCAGTAGGGGGCAGACGTTCAACACAGGAGCTGCTCCCAGCCATCAGGCCCTGACCAGAGGTGGCGTCAGGGGGCAGGGCCAGTGAGCGGGTGGCACCAGGCCAGCCAAGGTGCATGTGAGCAGGGACCCCCAGATCACCCTGCCGGTCACCCAGCAGAGGGAGGCGATGGCAAGGGGCAGGAACAGCGAGTGGGCGGCACCAGGCCAAGGTGGGTGCAAGCAGGGGCCCTGATCATCCCACCAGTCACCCCACAGATCGGCCCTGATCACCAGCCAGGCCTAGGGACCCTACCCGTGCACAAATTTCATGTACCAGGCCTCTAGTTTTTACATATTAGGGCCAAGGGATAACAGTTGGAACATTCCAAATAGAAAGCAATCAACTCTATGAACAAAAACAAAATATGGAACATGGTAGCAAGAAGTCAGAAAAAAAGCATGCAAGACCATGAGAAAAATCCAACAAGATGGAATTGGAGGTTAGACCCACACTATTTTTAAGCTTTGGCAAATAAGAGCATTTAATATTTAGAAATTATTATGAATCTGGGATAGCTCAGAATAGGAAAGTACCAAGTCCCAAGCTAAAAAATTAAGCCATTATTTTAAAATATATATATTATAACCTACTTTATTGTTTCTTAGGCAAAAAGCTATTTACTTTTTTTTTTCATTAACATTGCTTTTAAAAAGTGCCACTAACAAGAAGAGTTATTCTAAGGGGTGAGACTATGGCAGGAAAGGAAATGTGCTTTTCCTGAACTGGCCTAATGAAAGCTTGCAGATAAACTCAGAAGATACAGAAAAACAGACTACTCTTTTTTACCCAACTTTGTTTACAGTAGGTCCTCAATAACATTGTTTCGTGATAATGTGGAAGGGATGCATAGGAACTTAACTCTTGTTTATATCAATTAGCCTATGGTAAAACTGGTTTCATTATACACAATTTCCCTTAAAGTTGCAGAACCTATCGAGGACATTAAGTGAGGACCTACTGTATAAGGAAAAGACTGGAGACCTAAGATAATGTGACAAAAAATGGACTATCCATGAAGAATGAATAGAGAACTTAGAGAAAGTTGGGAAGGAATATATTTTGAGACTCATGAATTCATGTGAATAGATGGACTTTAATGTACCAGGAACACTAAATACATATGAGACTATAATGAGGTCCTCCTCATAGAACTTGCTGGTAAGGTTCTTCTAGCAAATAAGTATTGTATAATGGATAAGAAGTAACCTGCCTGCACATATGGTAAATATGAAGTATAAAGACATGAGAAACTGCCCTAGCTGGTTTGGCTCAGTGGATAGAACATCAGCCTGAGGACTGAAGAGTCCCAGGTTCGATTCCAGTCAAAGGCACATGGCCAGGTTGCGGGCTCGATCTCCAGTAGGGGGTGTGCAGGAAGCAGCCAATCAATGATCCTCTCTCATCATTGATGTTTCTATCTCTCCTTCCTTTCTGAAATCAATAAAATAATAATAATAAAGACATGAAACTACCACATGTGGCCACTGCTATTTAGTGTCATATAATCTCCTAACTGTGAAACAGTTGATGAAACAAAAACACAAGCTATAGCTAGTCCATTTTATTAATATATGTAAAGAAAAAAATGTTCTATAGAAAAAGAGTATCCTGTTTGTGGTCTAGAAAAGGGGAACCAAGGAGCTAGAATTTCTCAGAGTGCAGCCAGCCTGTCCAAGAAAGAGAAATACTAAATCTGGTAGACAAGAGTATTCTCTTTACGGAAGAGCTTACTCATTTTAAGCATAAGAAACTATAAAAGACTTCATGGCTTAATTAACTATCCCTCAGCACAATCTAATTTCATTTCCTCTGACTCCTTGCTTACCAATCAGCCTTCTAATTTTCAATTTAACTTCTTAGGCATCATATTCCCAAGAATAAAGAATCATGCGCAGAACTGAATGTACACTGGAAGAGTTAGAGTTCTCATTGTAAATTAATGAATTGATATCTGGTTTCAAAACTGATCGTTGTGAATTTGACAGGTATGTTTGTGGTCTAGAAAAGGGGAGCCAAAGAGCTAGGTGTCACATGGTACATCTCGGTTCACTAACAAAACCACATTCTTAGACCTGTACACGGCCAACTAAATTCCTGGTCATGATGATCCCATCGAGGTATCTGGTGAAGCCTTCCTCTACCAAATTTAAACTTACTTATTGTGCTGGGCTACATATCTGGCGCTTCGGCCAGACGGGTCATGCTGTGCTGTCTGTTCCTAAAACACATAGATAGGAAGGTACTGACATCAGGCCAGGCCTTGAGATATGGTCTCATGGCCCCTTCCCAGCACGCAGGCCTTCTTTCTCAGAAGGCCCGGAAGTCTCATTCCAAATTTGGGAGACAAAAGACTGGAAAAAGTATAAATAAAGAGAGTTTCCTACATATTGGGGGGCCCAGAATTTGAAAGACACATTTTTCTCTGGGCCTCCACAAAATTTAATAATAAAATGTAACTCTTGCAGTCAGGGCTGCAGTTCAGCCTCTGCTTCAGCAGGGTGCTGTAACTGTAGTCTGCTGGCCAGCTTAATAAAGGCTCTTAAATTTAAATTCTGAGTCGGTGGTCTATCTCGCTGAGTAAACCCAAAACATTTGGAGGCCCCCAGCGAGATCCCCAGGAGGGGGGAGAGGGACCCCTTATTTAAGGCAGGAGGCTCTCCCCCATTTATCGCCGGGCACACAGCGAGATATCCCACATCCCTGTGGGGAACGACTACCAAGGAGGCCTCCAGTCTCCATCCCGGGTCCCAGGGAGGCGGAGGAGACTCCACCCAAAACTTTCAATTCGGAAACCGAGCCACCTGGACTCTCGAGAGAGGTAAGAGAACGGTCGTTAAACTGGAATTGGGACGTCCCACAGAAGGACACAACGGAGGGCTGGACGCAGCGGTACTCCTGGCCCTGACCCGCGGCCACAACAGTGGCCGGGGTCCCTGGTTTGTGCGGCTGTCTGGTGTTTGTTGTCTTTGTTCTTTGTTGTCTTTGTCTTTGTCAAAATGGGTCAGGGTCAGTCATCTTCGTCGACCCCCTATCAGTCAGGCCCACTCCGGGTAAGTGGAAGGGGAGCTTGATCACCTCCCGGGAAGCCGTAGAACTCCCTTAGGCAATTAGTCAGGAATTGGTTGGATTGCTTAAACTCTGAGTAAATATTTGGTAGAAGTCAAAAACTCGGACTGTCTGGTGTATGAATGTAAGTGTGAGAGTCTGTAGGAAGTGAAAGCAACTTTGTGCTGTCTGGCTATACACATAAGTGTATTTGTTATCTCTTTCTGTTGTTTGTTTAAAGATAGGGCAAACCCTGCTTTAAGGGGAAGACAGTAGAGAACTTTTAATTGCTTTGCTCTGATGTATAATTTTGCTGTGTTAGGTTAAAATTTTAAAAGTCTAGAGTTAATTTAAAGATATAAGGTTGCAACCCAAAGAAGTTTAAACAAAGGCTTGTTGGGTAGTACATTTTCTCATAGCCTGTGTAGGGTAAGGGAGAGGGACTGCTGGATTTTTATCATGTGGTCCCGAGACCTGCAACCTGCCTGCCCTTCCTGATAGATTTACAGTAGGTCTCTGTCAGGGACAGCATCCACTCTGACTGGGGGAGGAAGAGAGCTGAAAACTGCTCCGGAGTGGGTGTGAGATGGGGTAGTGCCCGTAGGATTTGCTAGATAGGGTAGTAGGCTCTCAGCCTGCTGAGATGGAGGAGCCCTAGGCTCGGGGACAGAGGGCTAGTCAGAGAGATCAAAAGTAGTAAAGGAGGAGAAGGATTTGAGACTCTGGGGCTTAGAGTAAAGAAGGAAAAATCTAGTATGGAGAGCAGCTAAGGACAGAGGAAATGGTTAATGCAGAAAAAAGGGGGGGCCGTCGGCAGGGAAAGCAGACCAGAAGTTTTGTTGATTTTTACTTATCTGCTGGACTCAAGGCCACAAGCTGCTAAGCACAGTAAGTTTCTCTCTGCCCCATTTTGTTTTCTTTAACCCCTCCAATACTTGAAGTTGCATAGGAAAGGAAGCACCTGCTCTTAGTAATCTAAGAAATACTGGCTATTTACTTTATAGTAATCATTAAAGGATTGAGGTTTTTAAGAATAAGGAATTACTGAGTAGAAGGTCTGAGGCATGGTTATGCATTCTTAAAGGACATAGAAGGTTTAAAGGCTAATTTAAAAGTATAAAAT